TCCCATGCGGCGTTCACTCTAAGCTTTTTCCACTTGCGACTTTGGCACGTGACAAAACGCCAGGGACCCAAAAGCACGTATGTGATGTAAGTCTGGCTTGGTCCGAAACATAATTTCATATGGAGTGCAGCCCGCACCCTTGCAATAAACACGGTTCTTCACAAAAACTACAGTTTTGAAAGCTTTTGTCCAGAACGATTTAGGTAAACCGGCTGATGTATTATCGTCTTAGCCATACCAATCAGCGTCTGATACGTCCACTCCACAAGATTTAATTGGGATGCACTAGGTCCGACCTTTGTATGCACAATTCCATTTTGCATGTACCAATTTTATATAACACCATTACAATATTCTTGACCCTTGTCCGTGAGCACCTGCTTCACTGGCTCAGCGCCTTCATTGTGATCCTCTGTATCGTAGTCGCGAGAAATAACCTCATCAATTCGACTTCCACGTTGTCGCTCTGCCCATGCAGAATATTGCTTCATATACATGTTCACCTCGCCTTCCGTATTCGACGTAAGTAAATAAATACTTAACAAAGCGCGAAATCCCGTCCATCATAACCAAAACGGCAAAAAAATTTGAGCCATTGCTTACCCCTTGTGTAGCTGAGCTACTGTAGCCACGCTACTTATGCACTATGTGCAGAGGAAGACAAGCTCAGAGAGCTTCTACATCTTAGGGTGCTTAACCCTCCTAGGCTAGCTCGTAAGCTTGTGCCTATCGGTTGTTGTAACCGGGTCTCAAAGAGACTAGTATCAAAGATACTTAATTCCTCAGGAGGAAGAGTACGCTCAAGCTGTAAGGCTTACAGAGCAGAATTGAAACTGATTAATACTTATGTTTATCTTCTAGCACTAAATATAGAAGCACCTACTCTTTACTTAGTGCTAGTCACTACTTACTGGCTCGATAGCCTATTATTAGTATGCAAACATGCATAGTCACGATACTTTAAATAAGTATAGTGACCACGTGGCTCTCTGCCACGATGCGACCCTTCGTACTAGGTACGGTCACATCAAGCCTACTTTTGTACCCAAGGTACAGCCACACCACATTGGTGTGACAGGTGTGTATGTACAATACACACCTTCGTGTAACCCCGTTAGAGATTCAGCAAAATTATTATTAGCGGCAATCTCATCGTCAGTAATTTCATCATCGAGCATTGTGTCATGTTAATTAATACTTAAAGTATCACCACATGAATCATCATTTACCGAAAGATTACCAGTTTTACATTCATCCTTCCGTTCATTTAAACTTGATTTTGCAACAGGTTGAGAGATGGTTCCTGCATTTGCGCCCTTGCGTTTCTTTACACGCATTATCCATAACAGGCAGGGAGCTGTTCCGAAGGATATCATCCCATCATATTCCATTTCTACTTGCCTCACTTGATGTAGCACTTTTTCTGCTCCGTGTCGACAGGTTTGGCCGGTGGCACCCGACTGCGTAGTCGCCCGCGCCACATGTCTGGAGAGTCTGACAGCTCCGACACCACCGATTCCATGTCAACATTGCTGCTTAAGTTGCTTGACCCATTAGGAAATTCCACGTGAGAAGAAGTATCGAGACCTTCATCATCATCTTCATCGGTAAAGTGATCAATGTCACTCCCTTGAATAAAATCGGGAAAAGTTTACAGCCTTGTGTTTACTTTTCGTTTGTATTCACTGTCATAGCGATCACTGTATTTAATGTCTTCATTTATTTTAACGTCGGACACGAAACCTGTCTTGTGTTCCGTTGGAAGAATAATGTGACAGCCGACATCATCTTCACGATAACTGATGTGAAATCCCATGCGGCGTTCACTCTAAGCTTTTTCCACTTGCGACTTTGGCACGTGACAAAACGCCAGGGACCCAAAAGCACGTATGTGATGTAAGTCTGGCTTGGTCCGAAACATAATTTCATATGGAGTGCAGCCCGCACCCTTGCAATAAACACGGTTCTTCACAAAAACTACAGTTTTGAAAGCTTTTGTCCAGAACGATTTAGGTAAACCCGTCTGATGTATTATCGTCTTAGCCATACCAATCAGCGTCTGATACGTCCACTCCACAAGATTTAATTGGGATGCACTAGGTCCGACCTTTGTATGCACAATTCCATTTTGCATGTACCAATTTTATATAACACCATTACAATATTCTTGACCCTTGTCCGTGAGCACCTGCTTCACTGGCTCAGCGCCTTCATTGTGATCCTCTGTATCGTAGTCGCGAGAAATAACCTCATCAATTCGACTTCCACGTTGTCGCTCTGCCCATGCAGAATATTGCTTCATATACATGTTCACCTCGCCTTCCGTATTCGACGTAAGTAAATAAATACTTAACAAAGCGCGAAATCCCGTCCATCATAACCAAAACGGCAAAAAAATTTGAGCCATTGCTTACCCCTTGTGTAGCTGAGCTACTGTAGCCACGCTACTTATGCACTATGTGCAGAGGAAGACAAGCTCAGAGAGCTTCTACATCTTAGGGTGCTTAACCCTCCTAGGCTAGCTCGTAAGCTTGTGCCTATCGGTTGTTGTAACCGGGTCTCAAAGAGACTAGTATCAAAGATACTTAATTCCTCAGGAGGAAGAGTACGCTCAAGCTGTAAGGCTTACAGAGCAGAATTGAAACTGATTAATACTTATGTTTATCTTCTAGCACTAAATATAGAAGCACCTACTCTTTACTTAGTGCTAGTCACTACTTACTGGCTCGATAGCCTATTATTAGTATGCAAACATGCATAGTCACGATACTTTAAATAAGTATAGTGACCACGTGGCTCTCTGCCACGATGCGACCCTTCGTACTAGGTACGGTCACATCAAGCCTACTTTTGTACCCAAGGTACAGCCACACCACATTGGTGTGACAGGTGTTTATGTACAATACACACCTTCGTGTAACCCCGTTAGAGATTCAGCAAAATTATTATTAGCGGCAATCTCATCGTCAGTAATTTCATCATCGAGCATTGTGTCATGTTAATTAATACTTAAAGTATCACCACATGAATCATCATTTACCGAAAGATTACCAGTTTTACATTCATCCTTCCGTTCATTTAAACTTGATTTTGCAACAGGTTGAGAGATGGTTCCTGCATTTGCGCCCTTGCGTTTCTTTACACGCATTATCCATAACAGGCAGGGAGCTGTTCCGAAGGATATCATCCCATCATATTCCATTTCTACTTGCCTCACTTGATGTAGCACTTTTCTGCTCCGTGTCGACAGGTTTGGCCGGTGGCACCCGACTGCGTAGTCGCCCGCGCCACATGTCTGGAGAGTCTGACAGCTCCGACACCACCGATTCCATGTCAACATTGCTGCTTAAGTTGCTTGACCCATTAGGAAATTCCACGTGAGAAGAAGTATCGAGACCTTCATCATCATCTTCATCGGTAAAGTGATCAATGTCACTCCCTTGAATAAAATCGGGAATAGTTTACAGCCATGTGTTTACTTTTCGTTTGTATTCACTGTCATAGCGATCACTGTATTTAATGTCTTCATTTATTTTAACGTCGGACACGAAACCTGTCTTGTGTTCCGTTGGAAGAATAATGTGACAGCCGACATCATCTTCACGATAACTGATGTGAAATCCCATGCGGCGTTCACTCTAAGCTTTTTCCACTTGCGACTTTGGCACGTGACAAAACGCCAGGGACCCAAAAGCACGTATGTGATGTAAGTCTGGCTTGGTCCGAAACATAATTTCATATGGAGTGCAGCCCGCACCCTTGCAATAAACACGGTTCTTCACAAAAACTACAGTTTTGAAAGCTTTTGTCCAGAACGATTTAGGTAAACCGTCTGATGTATTATCGTCTTAGCCATACCAATCAGCGTCTGATACGTCCACTCCACAAGATTTAATTGGGATGCACTAGGTCCGACCTTTGTATGCACAATTCCATTTTGCATGTACCAATTTTATATAACACCATTACAATATTCTTGACCCTTGTCCGTGAGCACCTGCTTCACTGGCTCAGCGCCTTCATTGTGATCCTCTGTATCGTAGTCGCGAGAAATAACCTCATCAATTCGACTTCCACGTTGTCGCTCTGCCCATGCAGAATATTGCTTCATATACATGTTCACCTCGCCTTCCGTATTCGACGTAAGTAAATAAATACTTAACAAAGCGCGAAATCCCGTCCATCATAACCAAAACGGCAAAAAAATTTGAGCCATTGCTTACCCCTTGTGTAGCTGAGCTACTGTAGCCACGCTACTTATGCACTATGTGCAGAGGAAGACAAGCTCAGAGAGCTTCTACATCTTAGGGTGCTTAACCCTCCTAGGCTAGCTCGTAAGCTTGTGCCTATCGGTTGTTGTAACCGGGTCTCAAAGAGACTAGTATCAAAGATACTTAATTCCTCAGGAGGAAGAGTACGCTCAAGCTGTAAGGCTTACAGAGCAGAATTGAAACTGATTAATACTTATGTTTATCTTCTAGCACTAAATATAGAAGCACCTACTCTTTACTTAGTGCTAGTCACTACTTACTGGCTCGATAGCCTATTATTAGTATGCAAACATGCATAGTCACGATACTTTAAATAAGTATAGTGACCACGTGGCTCTCTGCCACGATGCGACCCTTCGTACTAGGTACGGTCACATCAAGCCTACTTTTGTACCCAAGGTACAGCCACACCACATTGGTGTGACAGGTGTGTATGTACAATACACACCTTCGTGTAACCCCGTTAGAGATTCAGCAAAATTATTATTAGCGGCAATCTCATCGTCAGTAATTTCATCATCGAGCATTGTGTCATGTTAATTAATACTTAAAGTATCACCACATGAATCATCATTTACCGAAAGATTACCAGTTTTACATTCATCCTTCCGTTCATTTAAACTTGATTTTGCAACAGGTTGAGAGATGGTTCCTGCATTTGCGCCCTTGCGTTTCTTTACACGCATTATCCATAACAGGCAGGGAGCTGTTCCGAAGGATATCATCCCATCATATTCCATTTCTACTTGCCTCACTTGATGTAGCACTTTTCTGCTCCGTGTCGACAGGTTTGGCCGGTGGCACCCGACTGCGTAGTCGCCCGCGCCACATGTCTGGAGAGTCTGACAGCTCCGACACCACCGATTCCATGTCAACATTGCTGCTTAAGTTGCTTGACCCATTAGGAAATTCCACGTGAGAAGAAGTATCGAGACCTTCATCATCATCTTCATCGGTAAAGTGATCAATGTCACCCCCTTGAATAAAATCGGGAATAGTTTACAGCCTTGTGTTTACTTTTCGTTTGTATTCACTGTCATAGCGATCACTGTATTTAATGTCTTCATTTATTTTAACGTCGGACACGAAACCTGTCTTGTGTTCCGTTGGAAGAATAATGTGACAGCCGACATCATCTTCACGATAACTGATGTGAAATCCCATGCGGCGTTCACTCTAAGCTTTTTCCACTTGCGACTTTGGCACGTGACAAAACGCCAGGGACCCAAAAGCACGTATGTGATGTAAGTCTGGCTTGGTCCGAAACATAATTTCATATGGAGTGCAGCCCGCACCCTTGCAATAAACACGGTTCTTCACAAAAACTACAGTTTTGAAAGCTTTTGTCCAGAACGATTTAGGTAAACCCGTCTGATGTATTATCGTCTTAGCCATACCAATCAGCGTCTGATACGTCCACTCCACAAGATTTAATTGGGATGCACTAGGTCCGACCTTTGTATGCACAATTCCATTTTGCATGTACCAATTTTATATAACACCATTACAATATTCTTGACCCTTGTCCGTGAGCACCTGCTTCACTGGCTCAGCGCCTTCATTGTGATCCTCTGTATCGTAGTCGCGAGAAATAACCTCATCAATTCGACTTCCACGTTGTCGCTCTGCCCATGCAGAATATTGCTTCATATACATGTTCACCTCGCCTTCCGTATTCGACGTAAGTAAATAAATACTTAACAAAGCGCGAAATCCCGTCCATCATAACCAAAACGGCAAAAAAAATTTGAGCCATTGCTTACCCCTTGTGTAGCTGAGCTACTGTAGCCACGCTACTTATGCACTATGTGCAGAGGAAGACAAGCTCAGAGAGCTTCTACATCTTAGGGTGCTTAACCCTCCTAGGCTAGCTCGTAAGCTTGTGCCTATCGGTTGTTGTAACCGGGTCTCAAAGAGACTAGTATCAAAGATACTTAATTCCTCAGGAGGAAGAGTACGCTCAAGCTGTAAGGCTTACAGAGCAGAATTGAAACTGATTAATACTTATGTTTATCTTCTAGCACTAAATATAGAAGCACCTACTCTTTACTTAGTGCTAGTCACTACTTACTGGCTCGATAGCCTATTATTAGTATGCAAACATGCATAGTCACGATACTTTAAATAAGTATAGTGACCACGTGGCTCTCTGCCACGATGCGACCCTTCGTACTAGGTACGGTCACATCAAGCCTACTTTTGTACCCAAGGTACAGCCACACCACATTGGTGTGACAGGTGTGTATGTACAATACACACCTTCGTGTAACCCCGTTAGAGATTCAGCAAAATTATTATTAGCGGCAATCTCATCGTCAGTAATTTCATCATCGAGCATTGTGTCATGTTAATTAATACTTAAAGTATCACCACATGAATCATCATTTACCGAAAGATTACCAGTTTTACATTCATCCTTCCGTTCATTTAAACTTGATTTTGCAACAGGTTGAGAGATGGTTCCTGCATTTGCGCCCTTGCGTTTCTTTACACGCATTATCCATAACAGGCAGGGAGCTGTTCCGAAGGATATCATCCCATCATATTCCATTTCTACTTGCCTCACTTGATGTAGCATTTTTCTGCTCCGTGTCGACAGGTTTGGCCGGTGGCACCCGACTGCGTAGTCGCCCGCGCCACATGTCTGGAGAGTCTGACAGCTCCGACACCACCGATTCCATGTCAACATTGCTGCTTAAGTTGCTTGACCCATTAGGAAATTCCACGTGAGAAGAAGTATCGAGACCTTCATCATCATCTTCATCGGTAAAGTGATCAATGTCACCCCCTTGAATAAAATCGGGAATAGTTTACAGCCTTGTGTTTACTTTTCGTTTGTATTCACTGTCATAGCGATCACTGTATTTAATGTCTTCATTTATTTTAACGTCGGACACGAAACCTGTCTTGTGTTCCGTTGGAAGAATAATGTGACAGCCGACATCATCTTCACGATAACTGATGTGAAATCCCATGCGGCGTTCACTCTAAGCTTTTTCCACTTGCGACTTTGGCACGTGACAAAACGCCAGGGACCCAAAAGCACGTATGTGATGTAAGTCTGGCTTGGTCCGAAACATAATTTCATATGGAGTGCAGCCCGCACCCTTGCAATAAACACGGTTCTTCACAAAAACTACAGTTTTGAAAGCTTTTGTCCAGAACGATTTAGGTAAACCCGTCTGATGTATTATCGTCTTAGCCATACCAATCAGCGTCTGATACGTCCACTCCACAAGATTTAATTGGGATGCACTAGGTCCGACCTTTGTATGCACAATTCCATTTTGCATGTACCAATTTTATATAACACCATTACAATATTCTTGACCCTTGTCCGTGAGCACCTGCTTCACTGGCTCAGCGCCTTCATTGTGATCCTCTGTATCGTAGTCGCGAGAAATAACCTCATCAATTCGACTTCCACGTTGTCGCTCTGCCCATGCAGAATATTGCTTCATATACATGTTCACCTCGCCTTCCGTATTCGACGTAAGTAAATAAATACTTAACAAAGCGCGAAATCCCGTCCATCATAACCAAAACGGCAAAAAAAATTTGAGCCATTGCTTACCCCTTGTGTAGCTGAGCTACTGTAGCCACGCTACTTATGCACTATGTGCAGAGGAAGACAAGCTCAGAGAGCTTCTACATCTTAGGGTGCTTAACCCTCCTAGGCTAGCTCGTAAGCTTGTGCCTATCGGTTGTTGTAACCGGGTCTCAAAGAGACTAGTATCAAAGATACTTAATTCCTCAGGAGGAAGAGTACGCTCAAGCTGTAAGGCTTACAGAGCAGAATTGAAACTGATTAATACTTATGTTTATCTTCTAGCACTAAATATAGAAGCACCTACTCTTTACTTAGTGCTAGTCACTACTTACTGGCTCGATAGCCTATTATTAGTATGCAAACATGCATAGTCACGATACTTTAAATAAGTATAGTGACCACGTGGCTCTCTGCCACGATGCGACCCTTCGTACTAGGTACGGTCACATCAAGCCTACTTTTGTACCCAAGGTACAGCCACACCACATTGGTGTGACAGGTGTGTATGTACAATACACACCTTCGTGTAACCCCGTTAGAGATTCAGCAAAATTATTATTAGCGGCAATCTCATCGTCAGTAATTTCATCATCGAGCATTGTGTCATGTTAATTAATACTTAAAGTATCACCACATGAATCATCATTTACCGAAAGATTACCAGTTTTACATTCATCCTTCCGTTCATTTAAACTTGATTTTGCAACAGGTTGAGAGATGGTTCCTGCATTTGCGCCCTTGCGTTTCTTTACACGCATTATCCATAACAGGCAGGGAGCTGTTCCGAAGGATATCATCCCATCATATTCCATTTCTACTTGCCTCACTTGATGTAGCACTTTTCTGCTCCGTGTCGACAGGTTTGGCCGGTGGCACCCGACTGCGTAGTCGCCCGCGCCACATGTCTGGAGAGTCTGACAGCTCCGACACCACCGATTCCATGTCAACATTGCTGCTTAAGTTGCTTGACCCATTAGGAAATTCCACGTGAGAAGAAGTATCGAGACCTTCATCATCATCTTCATCGGTAAAGTGATCAATGTCACCCCCTTGAATAAAATCGGGAATAGTTTACAGCCTTGTGTTTACTTTTCGTTTGTATTCACTGTCATAGCGATCACTGTATTTAATGTCTTCATTTATTTTAACGTCGGACACGAAACCTGTCTTGTGTTCCGTTGGAAGAATAATGTGACAGCCGACATCATCTTCACGATAACTGATGTGAAATCCCATGCGGCGTTCACCCTAAGCTTTTTCCACTTGCGACTTTGGCACGTGACAAAACGCCAGGGACCCAAAAGCACGTATGTGATGTAAGTCTGGCTTGGTCCGAAACATAATTTCATATGGAGTGCAGCCCGCACCCTTGCAATAAACACGGTTCTTCACAAAAACTACAGTTTTGAAAGCTTTTGTCCAGAACGATTTAGGTAAACCCGTCTGATGTATTATCGTCTTAGCCATACCAATCAGCGTCTGATACGTCCACTCCACAAGATTTAATTGGGATGCACTAGGTCCGACCTTTGTATGCACAATTCCATTTTGCATGTACCAATTTTATATAACACCATTACAATATTCTTGACCCTTGTCCGTGAGCACCTGCTTCACTGGCTCAGCGCCTTCATTGTGATCCTCTGTATCGTAGTCGCGAGAAATAACCTCATCAATTCGACTTCCACGTTGTCGCTCTGCCCATGCAGAATATTGCTTCATATACATGTTCACCTCGCCTTCCGTATTCGACGTAAGTAAATAAAAACTTAACAAAGCGCGAAATCCCGTCCATCATAACCAAAACGGCAAAAAAATTTGAGCCATTGCTTACCCCTTGTGTAGCTGAGCTACTGTAGCCACGCTACTTATGCACTATGTGCAGAGGAAGACAAGCTCAGAGAGCTTCTACATCTTAGGGTGCTTAACCCTCCTAGGCTAGCTCGTAAGCTTGTGCCTATCGGTTGTTGTAACCGGGTCTCAAAGAGACTAGTATCAAAGATACTTAATTCCTCAGGAGGAAGAGTACGCTCAAGCTGTAAGGCTTACAGAGCAGAATTGAAACTGATTAATACTTATGTTTATCTTCTAGCACTAAATATAGAAGCACCTACTCTTTACTTAGTGCTAGTCACTACTTACTGGCTCGATAGCCTATTATTAGTATGCAAACATGCATAGTCACGATACTTTAAATAAGTATAGTGACCACGTGGCTCTCTGCCACGATGCGACCCTTCGTACTAGGTACGGTCACATCAAGCCTACTTTTGTACCCAAGGTACAGCCACACCACATTGGTGTGACAGGTGTGTATGTACAATACACACCTTCGTGTAACCCCGTTAGAGATTCAGCAAAATTATTATTAGCGGCAATCTCATCGTCAGTAATTTCATCATCGAGCATTGTGTCATGTTAATTAATACTTAAAGTATCACCACATGAATCATCATTTACCGAAAGATTACCAGTTTTACATTCATCCTTCCGTTCATTTAAACTTGATTTTGCAACAGGTTGAGAGATGGTTCCTGCATTTGCGCCCTCTGCGTTTCTTTACACGCATTATCCATAACAGGCAGGGAGCTGTTCCGAAGGATATCATCCCATC